AAAACAGAGAAGAAATGCTGTGAGACCAAGTATCCCAAAAAGCTCAAGGTATCCATATATAGAGGACAGAAAACCCAAACTCTGAACATTTTCTGTGTGCGCAAACTCTATCATCATGCAGACATTCCATATTCATTTCAGCCTTTCATCACCACTGAATAACCAGCCAATCTTTAATTCCTATCTAGTTGGCACTACTTCAGCAGGTTAATTTGTTGAGAGGAAGAGAGAAAGAATTATTTTCAAAATTATTTGATATTCACCCTGGTAAACCCTAGTACAAGCCTGGCAATGATGCTGTGCCTTCATCCTCACCCAAGTCCTGCACTCTGGCTATCCAACAGGGAAATTCTGCTGACACAAGAGGCCTGCTGGCAGAAAAGTAAAGAGAAACAGAAACATGCATACATCAAAGGAGAGGTTCTAGAAAGCAAGTGTTCCTACAAACTTTGGCTTCTGAAATCCATACTATAAGAAGATGGAAGTAGAACCACCAATTCCATGATACTCTAAACAAATGCCACAAGCATCAAGGAGTGACCATCACCCTCCAATGGTAACTATTTTAATTAATCAAACCCTTTGCATGGGAAGAAAAAACAAGGCTATTAACTAGAAAGGATGTCTCCAAATCTACCCACACCTTGATCTTCATAAATAAGGGAAACGTTTTTTCAATTTGCCCTCTTTCAGCATCACATTCTAAGGCACATACTGCAACAACAAGACTGTCAGGACAACCAGTTTTTTCCTGTGACAGCTTGAGCACTCTGAAAACGTATTGGCATATGCTTGCTTTGGGGAGCATTAATGGTATATCGCACTCGAAATACACAGAGTAATTAGAACTCCTTGCAGGCATTAACAATTTAACACTATAAATCAGGTCTATCTATTCAAAGTGTACATTACCCAAATATGGACATGTACCAGAAACGAAGCTCAAAGGTATCAGCTAACTCAGAAAGAGAAAGCCAAGCCATCAGATAATGAAGAAAGGTGTCTTCTCTTTGTTTCCTAATTTTTAGCACCACTTTCTTCTCCCCCCCTCTCCTTTTTTTTTTTTTTTTTTTTTTTTTAAAAAGCTGAGGTGGTCTCTGGAACCAATTTATTTTTTTCATCCCCTTCAAAGCCTGTGTGAGAGATTTACAAATGCAGATGGTCACTTTTTGGGCAAAGGAGCTCCTCCTGAGCTACAGGCCCATGAAGATATCTTCAAAAGGGGGGAATAAATCTAACTGGTGCAATCATTTACTGGGATTTTATTATTCAGAAAAAGTCTCTTTCCTAATCTTTCAAACTCCTCCAGATCAGAATGGGAGAGTTTACCGTCCCCATTTTGATGAAGACAGAACAAGATTAACAATTACATACCAGTTTGTGTCCAACTATACAGGGTGACTTAATTGTTTCAGATTACTTCTTTTTCCCCGTTTCTCTCTCTCCTCCCAGAAAAGCCATAAACTCATCTGACTGCTAAGAGATTTGGAGAGAAAGTTATCAAGATAAAGTCCTTTTTGTTGGGGGCTTTTTTTCTGTTTTTAAATTGAGACGAGATGGGGATAAGATAAAACACTCTGATTTACAAGATAAAGTTCAGCAAGACTGCTACCAAAAACATCCTGATGTAATCGTTCCTAAAACGCCTACAGATTATTAGTATCCAATTTGGGTGCTTAGACATCTTTTAAAAGTTTTTAGTTACTTTCTAATCTAATATGATGAGATAGTAACTTTCATCATTAATATTTTTTAAATTAAGAGCACAGCTGTTCTGAGATTCTACCAGATTTAGTCTAAGTGAAGCTGTAAACGTGACGTTACAAAGAGGACTTGAGGGAAAAAGGAGTGAATGCAGGAATCCCATCAGATATATAAAGCAGGGCTTGAAGGAAGTACTTAAATCTTTCCCTGTCACTCTACCCTGAAGATAAGGCTTGTTTAAATTCTGGTTGTTTCAAAAGCTTTTGCTGGTAACAGAATCAGTACTATTAGATTTCAGAAACTGAATATGTAGAAGCAAAGGTTTACTTCTCTGTACATAATGTTTTAATGCAAAAAAGATTTCTCTCTCTCAGAAATCTTCAAAAAATATATCTACTTTTTTAACAAGCCATACCAGCCTTTCCATATTGAAGTATACCCATGCTGAACTGATAAGATAAAACTATTAACAAATCCTGAATTTACAGGCAACTCATGACTAAGAGCCTCCGGGTGCCTTAAATATAAATGAAAAACAATTTACAAAGAAGCAACATGTTTCTTTAGATTCGGAACAACAAATGATTGCCAACAAAGACTTTTACAGAACCAAATAGGAAAGTGTCTACCAATATACACCAGGTAAAACAAACAGGCAACAACACATTTTCCAGGAGCAAAGGAAGACCAGCTCTTGAGTCAAAAAACAGTATTTCCAAGCCATTTTAGAATCGAGGACAATTTGAGGATCTGCTCCAAAGCAGCAAGCAGATGAGAGTATCTGGTATTTTATTAACCTATATATAAGGAGTATTTTTTTTACAAGATGTAATGTGCTTACCAGTATCCTGGATCACCTAAATATGTGCTACTGTATGCCAGCCAAACACATTATTAAATAAAGGCTGGCACCAACATTTACAATCTTCTCTTGTGGAGCCAATTTATATCCCTCAATTCTGGCTCCTGGAGTCAATGGGAATGTGAATTGCAAGCAGAGATGTCTCCCTGGTTCCAGCTTGCAGCCTTCAGGTAAGTGACAGAAACCAGGGGCTAGTTTTTAATATCTGCCCATTGGTCAAAATATATTTTAAAAAATCCTTTACAGACTAGCACAGTAGGTGAGGAAGGAAAAAAAGAAGAGTGGGACTACAGTCATTCAGAGCATAACATAATAGAGAGGCAATCTGTGCCGTTCTAAAGCCAAGGGTAAGAACACACAGATTAGTTTTAGGTGATCTAATAAAGATATCAACAGAAATCCTGTTTGCAATAAAACTGAAGTCTTGTTAAGACTGCAAATAATTTGATGCATTCCTAGATCTCATCTGTATCTGCAAAAGCAGCCAGAAAGTTAACACATAAAAAAAAGAAAGAAAAAGAAAGTTCTCACCCAATTTTTGGTACAAAGAGAAGATCGTTTTGGCATAAAACTGACAGAGATGTGATGAGGTTTTGATATATTAACCTCCAGTTCTTTTGCCTGTAGCCCAAGTTTGCACAAATCATGTGAACTGAAAGCCATCTGCTGGCAATTGCAGACCAATATCTACAATTTAAGTAGTAAGATCCTTAGTAACCTATTTTTAACAAGAAAAAAACCACCAATATCCAAATATAGCTATAACATTTTACAAGTAACTGGCACAAGAGAGGCTCTAAAACTTCAAATCCAAATTCAACTTGAAATCCCTTGTGAGAGTAATTAAAAACTGATTTTCTCTGTTCTATTCAGAACTATTCAATACACTTATAGGTTCAAAGATCTAGAGAAAACTCTGCATGACAACTAAAAAGAAATTTAACCCACCACCACTTTTGCATTTTTCTGTGCGAAAATAGGAGAAAAAAAAAAACTACACACACAAGACTGCACAATGAAAGAACAATTTGGGTAATATTTTGAGACTAGCCAGGGAATCACTGTAACAACAACAAAAAAAAGGCACTCCCACATTGCAAAAAACTGAACAGCAGCAATTAAGTGAGATAGATAGAAAATATAGAATATTTTACACCAATTAACTGAGCACACCCAAAATCTGGAATATTTTCCTATAAAAATAGTGCCTAGACCTTGGGAACAAATACAGATTGGCATAAGAGAAACAGATGGGCCTCTAATATTGTACTTCTTGAACCACTCAAAGCGGGGTGGGGTAGAGAAAGCATATTCCTCTCTCACCAGCAGTATGAATTGGGAAATCGAATTAAACAAGAAAATTCTTTTACTGATACATTTTATATGTTCATTTCATAGTGCCACAGTTGTTAAATAAGGGACCTCTGGTATTGTGCTAAGGTAAGAGCACATCAGCAGTCTTTCCCCCCTCTTCTTTGGGGGCATAGTCAAGGGACATCTCCCCCAGGTTTTAAAACAATAAATGCATTATTAGGAGAGTGAGAGTAAATATATTTAGTTTTATCAAGAGGGATGGCTTAACAAAAGGGCTTAGGGACAATTAAAGTAAAAATATACACGTTTAATTTCATCTAAGAGAGGTAAAAGCTTCATCAAGGGCTCTTGCCTCACCCTATAAATCATGTATGTCCAGCTGAGTATGTGTGTGTTACCTATGGAGTCCCCAGTGGGATGCCTTGCCAGTTTCCTAAATGGGTTTCTGTGAAAGAGATGAAATCCTAGTTTATCCAGACGTAGGAAAGCCAATAAAATATTCATTTTAGTCTATTTAAAAAACTAGTGCATGTCATCTTCCCCCTCTCTAAAAACTGTGTCTAGGCAAAGCTGTGTATTTGGGGAAAGAAGAAATCAGACACAATGGGGCCGGCCCATTAGGCAGGATCAGCCATGGAGAGACGCGGCTAGGAAGGCAAAGTCCGCGGGACCAAGGCTGAACTCGGAACCACGTTACAACCCAGAGGGCCTGATTTAAGCACCGGGGCGGCTTTCAACTTCTATAATTTCTCTCCTCCGGAGAGTAGCGGATGCAGCAGAGACTCCAGAGGCATTCGCCAGGCAGGCACGTCAAAGGGCCGGGGAAGGAGGCGACTCGCAGGAACATGACAGCTCGGTCAGGCACCCCGAGCATCCGAGCCCAGCTCTATCCGCGCCCACAGCCCGGAGAGGGCACCAGCGCAGGAGCGGGCACCACAGACTCTGGTCGAGCTCAGTCGGTTCGGAATAGCCCTTAACTCTCGGGAGCTGCCAAGGGATTTCATCGCTCTGGCCCCCGGCTCAGAGGCGCCCAGACCCCCGCCCCGAGAGCGGCCCCCGCGAAAGGGAAAGGGGAGACGCCCGCGGCGGAGAGGGGAGGACTCGAAGGTGCAGCACGTACTTGGGGTTGGCCGAGCTCCAGGACACCGGCTCCAGGTTCTTGGCTAGCGGTGCTGCGAGGCGGCACATGGCGAGCAGGACGCCCAGGAGCCACTTGCAGAGACTGGGACGCCCCTCCGGCCGAGCCATCTTCCCCCTCGCCCGGGGGCGCCGGGGCCGGGGAGCCGCTAATCCTCCCGGTGCTGTAAATCCCGCCGGCCGCTGCCCTGGTCTCTAGCCCGTTTCACGCTCCCATCCCCTGGGGCTGGAGTCCCCCCGGCAGCAGAGCTCACTCCGCCCGCATCCAGGGCTCCCCCGGCCGGCTCTGCTGCACGAGCTGTTCCCGCAGAGAAAGCCGCTCCTCTGCCGCACGCGCTAGTCCCCCCTCGCCTCGCCCTGGATTAGCTCCTTCGGGTCCCCTCGCCTGGAGTCCCGCTCCGCGCGGCTTCCCCGGCTCCACACTGTAACTCCGCGGGCTCAGCCCGTCCCGTCCCGGCGGCTCAGCGCGTCCCCTCCAGCTGCCCAACTTGCACAGCGCGACAGCCCGCCCCGCCACGCTCTCTACTCCCCAGCGCAGGCATCCGCGAGGGCAGCTTCACCTCACCAACCAATAGCGTCGCGGGGTAGCGGGGCCTTCGCCGCTCACCCCGCCTCTCAGGAGGAGAGGGGCGGAGCCGTCCGGCCTCTTAAAGGGAGGTGGCGCGCGCGTGGGGCTGGCTTGCTTTGGGGCGCTTAGAATATCTGGCTGGGCAGAGCTGGCGCGCGCGAAAGCCGTGCATGCGTCCGGCGCCGGAGCGCAGCGCTGGGCCTGGTGCATGTTAGGGAAGGGGGTAGGCAGTGGTGTGCGGCTCTAGTGGAGAAGTTGGGGTCGTTGTGAGCAGTGCACTGGTTTACAGACATGGGGTCAAGCTGTGTCTTGCAGCTGCTGGGCGCGGGGAGGAGGCTCTGTCGCCTTGGCATCCCTGCGGCAGGACTTTGCTAGGGCCCTGTTCGTTTGCTGAAATTCTCTCCGTTGTGGAGACTAGTTGAGTCCAGAACCCTGGCAAGATTTGGGGGGGGGGGGGGTAGGCGGCGGCGGCGGCTGCGCCTCACGAGAGATTCGCAGCTCCTCAAGCTCTTCTTGCAAAGTCAAGCGTGCGGGGACAACATTGGCGTCCCGGGTACGAGGCTTGCTGCACCCTGCTAACGTAGAAGCCCTGGCTCGAAATGCTCATAATCCATCAGTTTTTAGCAGGTGGAAGAGAGGGCTCTCTTCACTTTGGAGAACTGAAAGCGACTCTGCCTGTATGGCTGAAGATGGGCAAAGTGAGGGGAGGGGACAAGCGCTGTTCGTAGAAGCAGTGTCCCCCTCTCCTTATCTGATTTACAAGCCGCTATATCTCTGAGCCCCTCGATAAGGATCTGCAAAGCACTTCAGAAGTGTTGCGACGAATACTGCTCTTCGTAGAGCCGGACGGAACAAAGAGCGGGGGGTTCGCTCCGCTATAGCCCCTTCTTTACTCAGCCGCCAGCTCTCACGCTTCTAGAACACCAGCCGCTTCTTTCACTGGGCAGGCAGAATGGAGCTAATCTTTCAGTTCTCTCCCCGACCCTTGTCACACCCTGGGGAAAAGTCCGTTCCATTTCTTCATCATTTCCCACTCCTGTAAATACAGCATTTTATTCAGTTTCAAAGGTTACTGTCCCTGCTTAATCACGTACAGTGGACTCCTTCCCATCAAACACAATCATCCTGTTCAACACAAAAGAAATAAAAGTCCAAAAAGTTTTACAACCCTGCAAATTGTTCAGCTCTATTTCCCTACTCTGCACTTCTTTTTTTACTTTACATGGCATTAACGTGTCCCAAATAACCTGGTTTTAAAACGGAAACAAATGTCATACGGTCTCTTCGTGTTATTTCATTCGGATTATGATTATAAAATCCCGATTAAAAATAATCCCTTATAATGCTAACTGGGGTGGATTACCTGCTATATATCTAATGATCTCTGGGTCTGGATCAGCCCCGATCACTCTTGTTTCTGCCATTACAGTTTATTGCTGTTTTTACTAAGGGTTTGTGAGTTCTAAGCATTAAAATTGTTTAGTTTTCCATTTGATTGGATTTTCTCTGACTTTGGGGTGGTATTTGAATGATTTCAAGGACATTATGATACTCAGAGCTCTAGGATTTGCGTTTGGATTTTATAAATTTGTTTTTTCTTCTGTTACAAAAAGGGGATTATTTTTGTAATATGTTGTTTTCATCAGTTACTCTTGTACAACTTTGATCTTTATCTGTGTTTCAATACCAATAATACTGCCCTAGGGTTCCTGTATTACGTTTTTCCCCGCTAAATTACTGAGGCATGGCAGCTACAGTATCCAAATATGGACCAATATCTCCCCCTGCTGTCTGGCTACTGACTGCGCTATTTAGTTCATATCTATTGCCTGTTCTTAGGGAAATGGCTCTCCTAAAAATTTTTAATATGGTGTCCCTATAAACTGTAAGAGATTAACAGTCTCCTCTGAAAGACAGTTGTCTCATTCTGCTTTCTGTCCATACCCTGAGACTCCTTAGAGAGAATCTGCAAGGACTGCTACAGGCTCAGCTTTTCCTCCTGTTGTTGCTGCTGCAGTCCTGTGTTTGAAGAGATGAGCAGCTGTCAGCTCTAAATCAAACTCTTGGGCTTCAGACAGTCCTCCAGGCATTTTCTCCATTAGATATTCTTCTAATCTAGAGAACTCCATTTTTTCCACTTAAGACAATATGAGGGTCACTTGAGAGAAAGAGGTAAGAGGGTGCTTTATTTCCCTCATTTTTTCCTTCATCCTGAAAATGCTTCAAGCAAAGTTCTCAAGTTATCTTACACTGTTTCACATCAGCCTAAGACTTGGATAATGTGAGAAAGATGATACTTGGGGCCTGTTTTTGGAGGAGCAACAGCAGACTGGTAGAGCCACTTCTTTTTGGTGCTTAACTCAATGATAAAAACAGATAACATTCAAGCCAAAACTCTAGCTTCTTGTAAGTATGGCATTTAACAAAATTGGAAGTAACCTGGTTTGAGATCTTTTGGTATTTGCATACTGGGAGATAAAACACTAATAAGCTGAAGCTTTCCAGAGATTTCCCTGAAGACACAGGGATATTAGCAGTGTCTTGCATTACACACTCTGAGGCTAGCTAAATTAGTTTTGGTAGGCACTTAAGGAGAATCCTAAACACAAGTTAAAATGGTAGATTTGGGTTAAACTGAGTGAGCCCACTTACCATTTTTTATTTGACATCTTAATTCAGAAAAAAAGAAAAATGCTGAGGAAAAGGAAGAATTATTTTCTCTTTCGGCAGGATGATTTATAACTTACAACAATGAGTTATATTGCAACAAAAGTAATTATTCTAAGTAAGTTGGCTGGGGAATAGACAGTTGCATTATAGCATCAGTGACTTCCTCTTGTGTCTTCCATCATTTCTTCCCTTCAGAAAATTAAGCATAACATTACTCAAGCTCATCTGAAGAAGTGGGTTTTGTGCACAAAAGCTCTCCAAGGTGCCACACAAGGTGTCATTGTTTTTATTCAGAACAGAGACACATTTATTTACAAGAGATTTTAACAGGCACATCACAGAAAATCGTAATACCCCATAGTCCTTTGTACCAGGAAGTAATTTACCTTTGACAAGTACAAGCCACCTGTCTTTTGCATTCTTTTCATTCATATATCCCATTTCTAAGCAATGGGGGAAATAAACTCACAATTTGTACTTTTCCTAGCCTATGTGAAATGCCTTTGGAAACTGGAAGACTTTTACCAAGTATTCCTGACCAATAATCTCTGCATATGACAACACAATTGGTTGCCATGGAGATGACCAGAGCCACAGAATGATACCTTAGGTAGGAAATAAGCAGCAGGTGAATTCCTAAGAAAATATCCCATATGATGAAGAGTTAACAATAGAACAAGAAAATAGATCCAAATGGAACTAGGATAATTTCTAAAGAAAGTAATTTAACATTAAATGAAGGGTGCACTGAAAAAGCCAATATCTAGAAATGAAAAAGTCAGGATTCCAGCAATAATGGTAGGAACACCTGTAGTGTTGCACATCCTTTCTCTCTTGTGGGTGCCTCTTAATAGTTATTATGCACAGTAATGTATGAAGAAGCTACATAGAAAGAAAAACAGAACTAGTGCACAGTACATCTCTGCAATTTAGCCAAGTTAGCACTATCATTGGTATATTAACTTGGGCATTTTCTAACTTTGATTTTAAAACACAGATTTAAGCCTTAATGTTGTAGTAATAATTTTTGTATATAACATTTAGGTTTTGTTTTTTAAAGGGAAAAAGAAGAAAAAGTAGGCCAGCTAGTGTTTCCTAACAGTTTTTGAACTCTTCATTTTTCTGTGCACTTTGGATATCCATCTCAAACCATGCAGTTATAGAACTTCCCAGCATCGGCCAGCCTTAGCATATCAAAATGCTCAAGAAAAATTATGGGTGCAATTTTCAGAGGTGTTGAATTTTGACTGATCCCACTAATACTAGCTGGAGTTGTACATATTCAGCCCTTCTGAAAATGAGTGCCTAAGATACAATAGGTCATTATTAACAAGCAAGGCCAGCTGGCACATCATTATTGTTATTAAAAACCATAAATACATGACCTACACAAAATATAGCTGTGTATTCATGTGCTATATAAATATGCAGATTAACAGCAATTTTTTACTCTTTCTCCTGCTACTGGAGTTTTCAGACAGTCAGAGATTTGACTTTACATTTCTCAAACTAAGCAGAAGCACCGGAGCTCAAGGAGGACTATTTCTATGTCAACCTGAACTGTGAAAGATCAAAATTATCTGCATAGAGGGGGGAAAAGGTCAGAAGAACAAGAAAGTGTATTTTCTCTCTGGCTTACAAAATGAATGACTTCTGCTAAATGTTTGCCTTGGGGAAAAATAAAATCTCATTTTTGGGCTGAGAATAATCATGGAAATATTTAAACCAAAGCAAGGTTAATTCCCCAAAATGTTCTGAGGAAGTGAAAATAGGAAATATAATGGGAAGGATTTTATAACCTTAATTGTAGCAGCGATTTCTGGTAAACAGTACAATTGAACCATATCCAAGGGATGTTAGCTATTCTTTAGTAGAAATAAAAAAAGTTAGCTATTTTAAATTTGTCTGGAGGGCAGAAGGAAGGACTTATAAAAAGTTGCAAGGAAGCAAATTAATTGGGCAGGTGTAACTAATGCAATGATACCCACCCTTCCTCAGAAAAAATAGATTTAAAATCCAAGACTTTGTAAGACCTTCTCAGGATTTAAAAAATATATATATAAAAAACTTTTTTAATAGATTTAAAATCCAAGACTTTGTAAGACCTTCTCAGGATTTAAAAAAATATATATATAAAACTTTTTAAAAAGACGATCTTTCTAAAAATGCACCTAAAAAGTAAAAATAAAGTTTTCAACTAGCAATTTAGGAGAAAGATTGGATGGCTAACAGTTCGCAACTACCTTGAATCATACTTAAACATCCAATCTTTCTC